CCGAGGCAGTATCACTATGGAAGTAGATTGCCCCATCTTCCTTCCAAGGAGTGGCTGGTGGGTTTGAACCGCCAGCCTTCTGGTGAGCAGTCAAGTGCCTTAGGCACTATGCTTAATATCTATGTTGTTGTTGTTATGTACCGTCGAGTCAGACACTACTCATAGCGACCCCTCCTTGGGTTTCCGAGGCGGTATCACTATAGAAGTAGATTGCCCAACCTTCCTTCCGAGGAATGTCTGATGGGTTTGAACCAGCAGCTTTTTGGTTAGCAGTCAAGTGCCTTAGGCACTATGCTACCAGAGCTCCTAAATAATATCTATAGGAATTATTAAATGAGAACTTAATTTGCTACATACTCTTTCTCCAAAAATCACAATAAAATATTTAAACAAACAAACATATGTGCCTCATTCATTTAATAGATCTTCAATCACAGTTCAATCTGAACATGTAAGTCAAACAAATGGCCCAAGGGTCTTGCTCTTTGAAAGCACAAGGTCTTGTAGAATTATTAAAATGTGCATGTAACAATAAACATATATACAAGGTACAGAAAGTTAACTGAGGAAAGTGGGTGGACCAATAGTTGAATTTAATTCATTTAACTGTAGAAGAATACGGTGTTAGATAAGTTTTACTTAAGGAGCTCTGGTGGCATAGTGCCCAAGGCATTTGACTGCTAACCAGAAAGTTGGTGGTTCAAATCCACCAGCCACTCCATGGAAGGAAGACTGGGCAATCTACTTCTGTAAAGATTTACCACCTCAGAAACCCAAAGGTGGTTGCTATGAGTTGGACTCGATTCAATGGCAATGAGTTTGGGTTGTTTTTGGAAGGGCTAAATTACTTTGGAGTGCTCAGTGAATGGTTAAGCCTTTACTAAGTTGCATAGAGAAATATTTTATTAACATTTATTTCTATAAAAGCTGCTTCAATTAAAGAATACCCTAAATGATATTAAAGTTAATTACTAACAATTGAAATACCTTCTTAGTTTATCAGTAAAATATAAAGTACACAATAGTTCTGATTTAAAACCAGGGCAAAGATAGTCATGATTAGGCTTCTGTGCACTTTAATAACATTCATAAAACTTGATGATTCACTTACGAATTAAGGGCTTCCACTTGATTGTTGGCAAAGGTACAATTGCATTTTCATTATTGACAGATTCCAAGGCCTTGGGGTTTGTAGGAAATTTTTCTGAAATTCTGACTGATGACTGCAGATACAGCTGGCCTCTGTACATTCCTGATTCAACCAAAACATTGCCAATTATGTTTAAAATACTTTGTCAAACACTGATGATTTTATTGTTTTCAAAGACGGTTCATTTCGGTTTAATAAAATTAGATTAACTCCAGTTATTTATTCATGTGCTACACAGCTCTTTGCAACAAAGAATCATGCTTGGAGCACTGAGATCTGACTCATGGGTTATCCAACAAAAATAAGGGAGAAAAGGTCTATATAACATTTCTCATAGAATAACAGCACATTGTCCATTATTACAGGAAAACTCTAACTATAGCACATTGCAACAATAGGAAACCATTGTACCCTTCTGAAGCTTACATAAAGTGACTTTCTGGTTAAAGAAAGTTTACCTAAACACTTATAATTCCAGAAATATTGCTAACTATCAGTTAAATATTATCATAATATATGTGTGCCATGTTACTCTTTCAAATTCTTGCATTATTCTTTTGTAACTGATGGGTGGTTGGTACATTGATAGGGTTTAAAGAATTTTATGAGTATTTGGCCACTGAGATGAGTTCAAATAATTAGATTTAAGATTTCAAAATTTATTATATTAAAGGTCTTTAATTGCCCAGAAGCACACCACGGTTTTGGTTTCATATTTCAGATCAGTTGTATAGATGCATAGAAAACAATGAACCCAATCTTTAAGGTGGAGGCCCAATGGATAGACATACAAAAACAAATGTAGAAAGTTGTAGACTTTGAGGATAGATGAGTAATTTTAAATCATGCTATATAATGGGCATAGTTTTCAGTCTTTCTAATATAGGTCTCAGAGAGTAACAATAGGCTATAGTCATTAAAAGTTTCAGAACCACACAAATGGTAAAATAGCAGGAATGGAAAACAAAGTTTAAATCTTAAGGGCAATCTAAGCCAGAGAATATATTCAGGAAGTAAAGCTATAGAGACACCTGAAGTAGGAAGGAACAATGTAGGAATATAATCTAGCTGTCAACAAACCATCACTGATTAAGAGATATTGACTCACCCAAGTAAACGCTGTTTTCTGTGGCTCCTCGGGCAGCTTCCACAATGTCTTCTTCATCTTCTAAAACTTCATTGTTAGACACATAACTTGTATCATCAAAAAGACTGATTGGAATGACTTTGTCATCCTTAACCAGCCAGGCAGATGCAATTGGAGTACAAAACTAAAGAAAAAACAGAGAAGAGATTTTAAAGCAGTGTTTTATGTAGGAGTCACTTGGAGGCACAAATCGTTAAGTGCTCAGCTGCTAACCCTAAAATTGGCGGTTCGAGTCCACCCAGAGCCATTTCAGAAGAAAGGCCTGGCAATCTCATTTTTCTGTGTGCCTAATGAAACCCTATAGAGCATGAAGGAGAACTGACTCCACGGCAACTGTTTTTTGGTTTTATGTAATCTCAACTTATAATATAGTGTGTCAAATTACAAATTGCTTAAAGCATAGAAAACAAGTCAGGAATCCAAAAGAGCAGTTATTTCCCTCCACCCAATAGAGTTTGGTGAAACTGGGAGAGAAAAGACATATGGCTTTAGGTACCTGATATTCCCACTCCAGATGTCCTCCCTTCTTACTAAACGCCATAACCTTCCAATCAGCAACAGAGACTTTTATCACTGTGTCAACCATGGCAGCTTCCTGTTCTTCCACATCTGAAATAATTTTAGACTCTTCTTTGTTGCCACTGGGTTTAACGGTGCTTTCAATAAATCCGGCTCTAGTTTCCATGTCTGGAATATACCGAAGTTCAAAGTGGCCAACACTGAAATTCCACCTTAAATTTACAAAGGTGTGTTTTAGAAATTACTTTTAAATGAAGGAGCAAAATAATACAGAACTCTTCTAAAGAAGCACACAATAAAATTTTGTGATGAGAAACAGCAACGCAATACAACCTTCTGGAAAAGAGTGTTCTGATGATTTATGCCACAAGAGGGCCCTAGAGGACTTTGTCTGACCTTTCAGGAACAATGGTTCTGAGTGTGGCTTAACAATAGCTGTGGGACATACATTTTCTCAAAAATAATAAAATATTCATGCTTCCCGATCAGAGTGTTTTTCTCCAAACACATTCAGGTTCAGGGTGGCCTTAAAATAAACTAATATGCAGTCTGTTTTACCTCTTCATTAGAGGCTGGGCACATTTCATCCAAGTACAAAGAAATTAATGTATGCAAATCAACTAACGTAAAAGGCAAGATGAGTGCATTAATTTTATATTTATATAAAAACATGGTCTCTCAGGTGATCTAGCATACCAAGCTCAGTCTATATACTGACTGGAATTTGCAAGTCATCTCGCTTTTTCTGAGCCTCAGTAGCCTCAACCATAAAGTGGATATAATACAAGTTTCTCCTACAACTAGTAAATAGAAAAATCACTGAACTATTCATAGCATCGTATCAGATATAAAATGTTCTAGCTAAGAATTCTAACTTCTACCGAAAAAAATATATATAATCTACTTCTGGAAGGACCGCCTTGGAAACCCAATGGGGGTTGCTCTTAGTCAGAATCGACTCGATGGCAGTGGGTTTGATTTGGTATACCTAAAGAGGATAGCTATTAGAGTCTATATTTTAGACTTTTAGATCTTAGACTCTCCCTATTCTGGTAACTCAAAATTCTCATGAGTGTAACCAGCAAGTACTCAAACACACAAGGAAAAAATACGTCATCAGGATAAAGAAAATCAGGTTGTTAGCCAATGCACAGCTCAACTCACAGCCCAGGGAAAATAAAAAGAATACATTCACAACAAAATTTGAGAAAAGTTTTCAAGATAGATAACTGAATTATTTTGGATCCGACTAGACAAAATATGAAATTCTGACTCACTTTCAAAAGACAAAATGATCTAAAAACATTATTACACAGGCAGTTTAAAATTTAAATATTAAGGTAAAAAAAAAGTCAAGCACATGGTTAAAATCCAGTGTATCTAATCTAGTTGTCTTATTTTTTTTAATCATATATTTAAATGTAAAAATTACATAAGGAAAATCATTACTGGAAAAAATATTTTAACAAATAAATGATCCTTTAATAAGAAAATTGTTGTTGTTATGTGCCATCAAGTTGGACCCGACTCATAGTGACCCCTCCTTGGGTTTCGGAGGCAGTATCACTACGGAAGTAGATTGCCCCATCTTCCTTCCGAGGAGTGGCTGGTGGGTTTGAACCACCAGACTCCTGGTTAGCAGTCAAGTGCCTTAGGCACTATGCTACCAGAGCTCCCTAATACGAAAATAGACTCAAATTATTATTTAAAAATTTCTGTAGTGAGACAAACTATTAAATAACCTACTAGACAGAACTACAGAGTTAAATAGGCCAAAGTATTAACTTTGTCTTAAGAGCTTTTTGCATTCAAAGAACTTTGATTAGTAAGGTTGCCATAAAAAATACCATTAACTTAAGACTAAACTAATATGTGGTCATTGTATGGAACTCCTTTTGGTTACCGTATCTTGAAATAAGTTCAGTTCAGAATTTGTTAACCATTAAAAAACCACACTCACTGCCATGGAGTCGGATCCAACTCATAGCAACCCCTCCTTGGGTTTCTGAGGCGGTATCGCTACAGAAGTAGATTGCCCAACCTTCCTTCCGAGGAATGACTCCTGCGTTTGAACCACCAGCCTTCTCTTAGCAGTCAAGCACCTTAGGCACTATGCCATCAGAGCTCCTTTGTTAACCATTAGGTCATTTTAAATTTAAGACCCATGTTTCTCTTAAAAGATAATAGTATGCTTTTAGGGCAACTAAATAGTTAGGGAAATCTCCACAAAGAAAAATTTGATGACTTTTGATGTTAAGTATTGTTGTTGTTATGTGCCGTCAAGTCAGACCCGACTCATAGCGACCCCCTCCTTGGGTTTCTGAGGCAGTATCACTACGGAAGTAGATTATCCCATCTTTCTTCCAAGAAGTGACTGGTGGGTTTGAACCGCCAGCCTTCTGGTTAGCAGTCAAGTGCCTTAGGCACTATTAATAACGGCAACAATATCTGAATACACACTTCTCATTGCCACTTCGAGGTCCGACAGCTCTCACGGTTTTCTGGGTGCGTTGCAGAAGCAGGATGTCTTCTTGTTCCATTTCATCACTATCCCACTTGCGACAACCCAAAGCTGAACAGATATACCTCACCTGAGAAGACAGATAGATACACAATCAGTAAAGGATACAAATTACAAGAGATCAGAGACATTAAAACAACCTCCAGGATTTGTGAAAAGTAAAAGAAAATTGAGGAAATGTAAAGAAGTAACCAACTAATAAGATGCATCAATTAGATTACTAACTCCTCAAACGTGTGATCTAGAACAATAAAAGGACCAACCAACATTTATTTCAGGTGACGATTTTAAGAATTTAGATAATTTTAATCTTAGTTTGGAGTGCCATAGAATAATCAAGACAAAGGGGTAATCAGTTGTGGTATTTTAGGAATAATGTCATTAATAAAATTTCAGGTGAATAATAATTAATATAAAAAAAACAAACTCAAGATTTTCCATATAACAGATATATTTGGTTTTAAAAATGTTAAAACTTTTCTAATAGCTTTAGTATTTAAAAGTACTTCCTTCAAATCTTATTAAAAGATAAAGGAAAATTCCTGTTATGATCTGAACTTAAAGCCTCACAAAAAGGAGCATACCTGCTAGCAAACCACAATTTTGTAGCAGCACATCAAATCAAAACCAGATGTCAAGTTCAATCTTGATGTTTTATAGACGAGAATACTGAAAAAAAAGATAGATTGAAGTGCTTGCTCAAAAACGGCCCAACAGGATCGAGGAGCTTGGCTTCCTCAATACAGTACAGATGCTGGTAGGTGAAGAAGGCAGAAAAGCATCTGTAAGAGCAAGAAGGTGCATTGGGCCTAATACTTAGGTAAGTATTAGTTTCCAGATCCTATTATCTAATTCCATTCCCCACTAAAAGGGACCAAGGCTCCTCAGAGAAATGACTGAGTACAAGACTAGGGCAGGGTAGGTATGACATGAGCTTTTTTCATCTTATTATTCCAGGAAGTAAAGATGTGCTCAAAAAGTGATGGGGCATGTCACAAGGATATGAGTCAGTTTGAAGGAGCTCCCACTGGCCAAATAAGATTAGATTAGGAATCTTAAAAGTTTGAAAATCTCAATGGTTAGAAAATAGATAATTTTCTCATTCTTCCTTATTATGTGTGTGTGTGCGTGTGTGTTTGTATAATGTTCATGTATCAAGATGTTAACGAAAGCAGGCAATGTTTCCTTCTGTTGTGCATAAAGGTCACCATGAGTCAGAGCTGACTCGATGGCAAATACCAACAACAAGAGGTTAAGAAAATATTTTGATCCTGTTTTTTTTCAATTTCCTACATTTATTTTACAGTTAAGTAATATTCTTATTTAGAAATGCATCTAAGTAGGAGACAGAATCATATTTTCAGTTCTTATCAAGCCAATGTGGACAAGTCTCATGGTTGATATCACTTATTCTTTCTTTTATGGCCACTTATTCTTTTTCTGAACATTCTGTTGTTTTAGGTGAAAATTTACACAACAAATTAGTTTCCCATTCAAGAATTCATACACAAATTGCTGTTACATCATAGTGTGCCAGCATTCTCCCTATGTTTATCCTGCCTGCCCCATTTCTATCCCTCCAGTGTCCCCGTGCCTCTTTGTCTTCTCATCTTTGCTTTTGGACAAGTGTTGCCCATTTGGTCTCATACAATCGACTATTATAAGGAGCACATTTCTCATGGATATTATTTTATAGGTCAATCTATTATTTTAGGTGCTCTGGTAGAGGAGTGCCTAAGGTACTTGACTGCTAACCAGAAGGCTGGAGGTTCAAACCCATCAATCACTCCTCGGAAGGAAGGATGGGCAATCTACTTCCATAATGATACTGCCTCGGAAACCCAAGGAGGGGTCGCTATGAGTCGGGTCCGACTCAAAGGCACATAACAACAACAACACAATATATTATTTGGCTAAAAGGTGACCCGTGGAAGTGGCTTTAGTTCCAGGTTAAATGGGTATTTGAGGGTGATAGTCTCGAGGTTTATTTTGACCCCTTTTGTAAAAGATAAGGAGCTCCAAGACTTCCGGTAAGATGGGGGAATAGGCAGACAAGCAACACAAACCCTCTTCAACAAAGTAAAGAAAAGCCAATTGACAGAGATACAGAAGATAATCCTGGAGCCCTAAACTTTGAAAGGGACTATACAGAAGTGGATTAGGCACCAACTAGTGGAAAAACCTGAATGAAAACATTCATTACAGAGACGGTCAGAGCAGTGGACTGTCAGCTACTCTGATGGGACCAACAGCCTGAATATTTCCAAGGGGTGTTGGGACCTGAGAATTGACCTAAAGATCACCAAGGGATGCAGGGAAGACTGTGCTGGTGGTCTATGACTAGGAAGAGAAACAGCAAGGAGGGAGACAACATGAGCTGTTGACTTTCTGCTGTCCGGAGGGTGCAGCCATTTTGAATGTTTACCAGTGGTGGCCATTTTGAATATTTAAAGTGACCAAGGGTGCAGGCATTTTGAATCCTTACAAGTGGCAATAGTTTTGGATTTTATAAGAGATAGCATTCTCATTCGGCTTCCAGGGACCTACAAATAGGCTATGTTTGCCAAGGTTGGGA